ATGATGGGCTCGAGTATAGCAGGGATTGTGGGGCTCGTGTGGGATCGGGCAGTGTTTCGTTCTGCTGTGCGTGGGGTCGCTATGAGTCGGAAACGACTCAACGGCACTTAACAACAACAACAACAACATTACTCAGAAGATTAAGTTATAATGCAACAAAAGCACATAAAACCATACCTAGTTTAAGAAGTAACTGCTCTATATGTGCTAGCCATTATCTTGTTACTACCTGTGCATAACATTATGATGATTTTTATCATATCATATTCAATTGACTGTATTTCTCTCTCTCTCAAAATGATCATGAACTTCTTGAGAACAAAGGTTGTTTCTTTAATATTGTATCCCCTGTACTTACCACAGAGTCCCTGCGTGGCACAAACAGTTAAGTGTTCCACTACTAACCGAAATGTTGGTGGTGCAAATACACCCAGAGGTGCCTTGGAAGAAAGGCCTGGTGATCTACTTCTAAAGACCATGGCCATTGAAATTCCCATGGAGTGTTTCTCTTCCAGGACACTTGAGGTCACCATATGTCAGAATTGATTTGATGTCAGCTGGTTTAGTTTTTGACACTTAGTGAAAAATGATCACATTGTGTGAAAAATAAATGTTTTATATTGTTTGGATTCCAGATATAAATACTTTTTTTGGAAATAAATATTTATGATTTCTTCAAATATTTCTAACCAATTGTAGATAAAAAACTGACAATGTCAAGGAATCACAATGCTATGTTTTCTCCACACTATTGGTGCTGTGGTCGTACATTTTTAAGAAGAATAAAGACCCTCTGCCTCTGTTCTGCTGGCCTTCCCCCCCTCCTCCCCTATTCTTCACCTTAACTCCTTTCCTGGGCACACGCATATAGTCTTGTTCAAACTTTTTCTTTTCTTCTAAGTAGAGACTGTGTCCTCCAGGAACACAGAAAGTTCCTCTTGAAATACTTTCCATCAGGGACTTTGAAAGCTGCTTAAGTTCATCCTGACAGTATTTCATAGATGCTTCTTCATTCTGCAACAAAAAGTTCTCCTTTTTTTCCTCTATGGTGCTCTGCAGGGAATTGTAGAGAAACACAATAGAAAGAAGTTGTTAGAACACTTGGTCCAACTCTGGTTCTCTTAGGAGAAGCAGACTGACAGCCTCAGAGTGAGTCAGGAGACTTGGGTAACACACAGGTCAAGTTCATCACATATAAAATGATGGGAGTGGATGACATAAGCTCTATGGTTGCTTTAGTTGTATAGTGTGGTTAACAGTGCCAACAATCACAATGAGTAATACAAAAGTTAATTTAGCTGGGAGGAGAGTTTTTTCAGAGGAACCTGCGTTGCTGTGTATGAAGAAGCAACCCATACAATAATGGCTTAAATGTACTCTGTGCAGACTTCGGATGAATTCTTTAGATGAGGAACAGAATTTCTTTGCTTGCACTTATAAATTACAACCCCAGTGGTTTTAGTCTATGTAAATTAGAGGTTTTTTGTCACTTGTAGGCCAAAGACAGACTGAAAGACAAACTTTCAGTGAGAGTGTGTATATTGGTATGATTGTAAGGTGCTGTCAAGTAGATTCCAACTCATAGTGACCCTATGTGCTACAGAACAAAATACTACCCAGTCCTGTGCCATCTTCACAATCATTTCCATTCTTGAGCCCCTTGTTCACGGTCAGTGTCACTCCATCTCATTGAAGGTCTTCCTCTTTTTCACTGACCCTCTACTTTACCAAACATGTTGTTTCTTCTCCCTACTGGCAACAGAATTAAGATTTCCCCCAGAATGTCTGCTGTTCACATCTTTTGTAGTTTTTGGGACTTTGAATATAATGGATTGTACTCCCAAGGTTAAGTTATACAGTATGGCACAAGATGATTTTAAGAAATGGAGAATATGTAAGTGGGCATTACCTAATCGCACGTGCCCTTTAAAGTAGAGCTTGTCCAGCTGCTGACAGAAGAGAAAGTCAGAGATATTAGAAACAAGAGAAGGATTTGATGAATCTTTACTGGCATGAAGGTGGAGTGGGGTTCCTCAGAGCCTCCAGATGAGAACTAAGGCCAATTGACACTTTGCTTTTAGCTTGTGATACCCTGAGCAGAGAAGCCAAATACTCTATGCTGAAAAAGAAAACCATGAGCTAATAAGTGTGTGCATGCCAAGTTCATAGAAATTTGTTGTACAGAAATAAAAACCAAAGTGCACAGCTTTTAGAAACAAGATGAACTGCAGCTCTGCAGAGGCTGTCACTCATTACAATCCAGTCTCCTTTACTATATGAAAGACAAGAAACATGGGGTCAAAAAGGTGGACACTCATCATTGTAGAAGGACAGAAATCAGGAAGGATATGTGCTAAGATAAGTACCACGAGCTGTTTGTGGAACTCATGATTTTCATCCTTGAAGGAGTGCTCCATGAAGATTACAATAGCTTCCTTCTCACAGACTGCATGTATGTCCAGCAGCTCCTGGAGCGTGTCTGTGGGAAGTGTCAAACACTGGACCATCTGCTTGCTATAATGGTCAGCTGCCTTCTGCACAGCCACCAAGTTCTCACGCTGGGCCAGGGTTGTCACCGCATTTTCCAAACAAGGCACTGCTCCACTGTTGATGGCATTCATGTAGGTCTCCACCAGAGTCCCCAGCCCTGAATGAACCAGGAAATTTGGGGATAAATGTCAAGTGTTCACTTATTATTTTAAATACTTTAGTGATCAGAATTCTAAATTTAATTTGTGCTTTTCTTCTTTTCCTTCTCCTCTTTTCCTTTTTCAATGAGTCCATTTCCTTAGAGTCACACCACTTTTATTCCCCCTATTTATTCTTTCTTTTATTATTCTCCATTTTTTCATTAAGGAAATTAGCTTACCAATCACAACTAGTATATTTTCCAGGGTTTCCTGGAAAAATATTGTCACATTTAAATAAAATTTAAAAAGTACTCATTAGATAGGCCAAATTATTATATAATTTGTGGGGCCAGTTCCAAAAGAAAATACAAGTTTCTTGTAAAAAAATGAAAAACAAGTTCAAGATGGTAACATAGATCATTAAGCCAAGTATAGATCTGTCTCAGCATAGACACTGCACAACTGCAGAGGTCATGCACTCAAAGAGACAGCCCTGTACCTATATTATATTTAATTTTTTTTTCAAAATCTTTAGACTTGCAGGGATTTATGGCCTCCTATGTATTTTCTGACATGTATAATTTTACAAATTATCTTTTCTACCTTGAGAAGCACTTACCCTACAGGACTTGTCCATGAAACACAGATATTCTCTCCTTAACAGCAGTTTGTGCCTATTTGATTACTGGACTGTTTTCTTGAGATATATTTGGCCTCAATAAATCCTCATGTAGAGAGAAAGTAATTAAGAACATTCAATACTATGTGTAGCATGAACACTTCCTTCTCCACATTTACATATGTTGTTGTTCTTTGCCGTGGAGTCGGACCGACTCATAGCCACCCGTCCTTGGGTTTCCAAGGCTCATTGCTCTGGAAGTAGATTTCCCAACCTTCCTTTCGAGGAGTGCTGGTGGGCTTGAACCACCAGCCTTCTGGTTAGCAGTCAAGTGCCTTAGGCACTATGCTACCACAGTTCCTTATAGAAGCAAACAAAATTACTGTCAAACCCGCAGAACAATTACAGCCTCACAACACAGAATGACCCACAGAGAAACATGCTTTGGAGGCAAAGGTGACTCACGGTTCCCAGTGACAATGATTCCCTGTCTCAGGGTCTTGGTCCTTGCGTGGGTGAAGATATAGGAACAGAATTTTTCTGCTTGCGCCTCGAAATTACAATCCAACTGCTCTACTTGCAGTTCTTCCATACGGACTAAGAGACTTTTGTCACTTATGGGCCGGTCAAAGACAAAACACTTCCGTTTTGGGAAGAAATGTCTGATACACTCTCTAGGCAGGTTGGAATTTTGGATTTTGGGATTCTTGCCTGTCAAATTAGAAAAAAAACCATCACTGAACAGGCAGCCTTCAGGAAAGAGGTCTGTCAACTTTAATTTCCAGGAACCTTTTCATCAGTGCACTCAGTGTTTAAATCTCCTTTTATCCAATCATGCAAATCAACCTTGAGCCAATCTACCAAAAACAAAAACAAAAAAAATCCATTTGTGGACAAATTGTCAAGGAAGCAGTTCTAGAGAGGAATTGGAACATCCATCTAAAGTGAACAAATTTTTATGTTTGACTTCCTCAGTTTATGTATGGAATTCAGGAGAGTAAGTCTTTAATACATGTTTATTGTGTGATTGACACATGGAAAGAAATGGTCAGAGTACTTTTCTGACATTACTCTCCTCATGTCGGAAATAAAATGTGGGTTTGGAAACAAAGTAATGCTTTATATAAAGATAAGTTGCTGGGAAAATATCGTCAGGAGAGGTGATACTTAGGTCATTAAGAAAAAATTAAAAAATCTGAGCTCCAAAATATATACATCATAAATACATTTAGGGATTCTTTTAGCAAAAGTTTCCACTGAGTAGGGTTAACTTAAATGTAATTTGAAGACCTCACCACTTCTCTTCATCACATTATAGTGGACTTGACGGTGTCTTGCCAAGAGCTTCTGTGGTAGATATAAGTTGTTTAATAAGTGTTTGTTGAAAGAATTAATAAATGAATGAGTAAATGAAAATGGATATTCTTTCTAATGCTATCAGTTAGCCACTGTCCTAAATATAATATAATCATAATATTAAAATGATAGCGTATTATGTAAGGATGTAGAAGGATGTATATAATGTTATGAACAACATGAAATAAAGGATTTGACAGTCTTCTTGAAAAGATACCTCATTTTTTTTTTCTTTTTCTGAACCCTTTATTATACAGTAAAACTTGCAAAAGCCAGAACGTGTGTAAGGTGGAAACCTTTCAGATAAGGACAACTCAAATATATTCCACTAAAAGAAGTGAAAAAAAAATTTGTCAAAGGCAGAAAACATGCAAGACCTGGAAAAATAAGGCAGTCCTGTTGAGTTCTGACTATTACAAGTTTTCCCGTATAAATTCCTTTTGTCTGATTGTTGCAACTATCTAGACTAGTAAAACATTGTATTATTGTTGTGTGTCATCTAGTTGATTTAGATGCATAGTAATCCCATGTGACAATAGAATTGCCTGGGCTCCCTTAGTAAAATATACCACACGACATATATTTTTTAAACAAAGTTATTCGATTGCATTGTGATTCTGTGTTTAACAGCTTCCAATTTCACGAACTTTGTTTTTCTCAAACCAGAACAAGAAGAGTACTTAAGAAGGAACACAAGTATAATGCAAAAAATTTTTTCATGGTACCAATTGCTCTGAAAGCATTTGGTCCAACATTGGTCCTAAATTCCCTTAGGCAGCTTAAACTCCAGCCACCGGTTATCTTCAGGTAAAAATAACCCACTAAAATCACACCCTCCTCTCAGTCACCATCTTCCTGGGCCTCAATCCACTCTCCAATATATGTTGACTTCAACTGCTGAATGAGAGGGCTTACTTGATATCACCCCCTACTGTATGTTTCACCACCAAGGGCTTGCACCCTGGTGCAGAAAAAGAAAAAAACACCTTGATACCTGTCATCAACTTCAAGGCATTCTCTAGGTACTCGTCTTCGGTGATAGGGCGTTCATCTAACTTCAGCTCCAGGCTGAAATCCCGAACAGTCCAAACAAAGTCTGGAAAGAAACTCACAAACTCAGTGGAGTCCTCTAGTTCATCAGATCTAAAGGAGGATTTTGTCCTGATGAGCTCTGTTAATTCAGTCACAAAGCTGGGAACTTAGCTAAGGAAGAAGAAGAACTCTACACCACAATTCTCAGATCTCATTTAGAAAGAAATTTTATAAACATTCTATTTTGCTCTCTCCTCACTCATGACAACTGATTCACAAGAAAATGGAAACAGTCTCAGTTGCTATTTTCATAAACTCAATAAATGTCATGATTGGGTTCCTGGAAGGATACTGCAGCTGCTCCAGGGCCTGATGGTTGATGGTACACATGCTGTTGTAGACGAAGGTGCTGCTCAGAAGTATGGCCAATGCAAAGATCCATGAGTCATTCTTAGGGTCACCCTAGAAAGCACATTAGAGCAAGAAACTTGGGAGTCTACTCTTCATTCATTTGGTTTGAGCATTCACTATTTCAGTGGTACTAAAGCATTTGACTACTAATCAGAAAGTTGGTGGTTCAAACCCACCAGCCACTCTGTGGAAGGATGACAGGGCCATCTACTTACAGCCTTGGAAACCCAATGGGGTTCACTATGAGTTGGAATTGACTTGATGGCAGTGGGTTTGGTTTGGTTTGGTTTATAGCCGAATAGGAAAGATTACATACATTTTTAAAACAATGCTAAATTCAAACTTCGTATTTTGTATTTACATTGACCTCTTTCAGGGCTTTAATTTCTTTAGCTTTTAAACTAAGTGAATGACATCATCAATGTGTGTAAAATGCTTATTTAACGCATAGTTTAGATTATAGTAGGTGCATACTCATCTCAGTAAAAAGTGGAAAGTTATACCTTTAGCAGTTTTTTTCTAGACCAGGGCCTATATTAAGGACACAAGCAAGCTAAACTCATTGCCTGCTGGTTGATTCCAACTGACAGCAACCCTATAGGACAGTATCGAACCACCCCATAGGGTTTCCAAGGCTATAAATCTTTATGGAAGCAGACTGCCACATCTTTTTCCTAAGGAACAGCTGGAAGGTTTGAACCACCAACTTACTGGTTAGCAGCTGAGGACTTTAACCACTGTGCAATCAGGGATCCTCAGGACATAAACACTATTCCAGTAAATTAAATAAGTAGTCATAAATATTGGACAATGCATTTGGTTGTACAAGTAAAAAATTCCATATGGTTGTCCCTAACCAAAAGAAGATGACTTTCTGGAAAGACAGTTTGACATGCAAACATATGAATGCAACCAAGACTAAAATCTCTGCCAGGAGTGGTCCAATAGTTATAATATAAATGAAAAAGGGGTGAGGCCAATAAATAAGAACAACAATCTGTGGATTCAGGCTAAGAAGAAATTACATTTGACTGGCATAGGTTGTTAGTAGCTAGTCTTTTAAGAATTGATAGAATATAAATTTGTAGAGACAAAGGAATCATATAGGTGTCAAAACCAACATAAATCAAGCCAGAAATGTTAGAAAGTACAGATCATTTAGAGGTGTTCTAGAGTTACTCCATTTGACTGAAGCAAGGAGTAAGTATACAGCAGTGGACTAAATGTGGCTGGAAATGAGGTCCAGGGTAAACTCTCCACATAATTTTTGCTGTTGTTCTTGGCAGTAATGAAAACCAAAGATCTACTGCAACTTTCAATTTAGACTTACAGAAAAGAAAAAGAGGGAATTAAATAAGAAGAAATGATTCACTGCACCTAATATTATAAAGACAAAATACCTAAAATTATCCCATTAATAATGTTTCTGGTGGGTCAATCCCATGGTTTTAAAGAGAAGCTAGTGAAGAATTAGCCTCCAAAGGCCAACAACTTGGACTAAAATCTTTATGAATGTTCTTAGTGTAGCTAACACTTTTCAGAAAGTTGTTTAAATAGATTACTTCACTAAAACCCTGAGTTCGTGGTTTCTACCTCCAACCCTATCAGTTCCATACTCTTTAACCAGTAGCTCCCATTGATCCAATGGGTCATGGCTTCATCTAATCCATATGTCTGAGTTAGATACTCACTCCTGTGCTTCCATGACAACTGATACTGATCACACTTTGTAGCTGTTGAGTCCCCAACTAGGCTCTGGGCCTTTGCTTTGTTCACTTGAACCTATAACACTTAGCATTGTTGTTGTTGTTGTTGTTATGTGCTCTCGAGTCGGCCCCGACTCATAGCGACCCCTCCTTGGGTTTCCGAGGCAGTATCACTACATAAGTAGGATTGCCCAACCTTCCTTCCGAGGAGTGGCTGGTGGGTTTGAACCGCCAGCCTTCTGGTTAGCAGTCAAATGCCTTAGCCACTATGCTACCAGAGCTCCTATAACACTTAGCGTAGAGCCCTGAAATTCAGCTGCTCAGAAAGTATTTATTAATATTTTTTATTCATCCCAGTGTTAAACAAAAGAAAAAGATCTATATGTAATATACCAGTAATATTTGAGCTTACAAAAGAAACAAAATTTAACCTCATATCTATAAGTGTATTATAAGGATATGTCACAAAAGTTGAATTAATGTGGCAAATTAAAAGGGTAAGTAGAGCATTAAGCACAAAGACAATTTCTCCATGACTCCTTCCCTACTTTACCTTTTCTACATCACCCAGGCCCTCAGTGTCCAGAAGGACCAGGGTATGCTTGGATTTGGACGGGTGAGGTACACACCACATCCAGATGCCCTTGGTTTCAGACCTCACTGTGGAGCCCAGACGGAAGCCTGCAGGAAAGACGGGAAAGCAATATTAGTGACAGAAGATAGTCCAGGTTTCCTATGAGCTGCAATGGTTAAACTTGCAGGACAGCAAATGGATAGCAGGGAGAGGAAAAACAAACAAACTCACTGTTGTCGAGTGGATTTGATTCGTAGGGACCCCTCCTTGTGTTTCCGAGGCAGTATCTCTACGGGATAGATTGCCCGGTCTTCCTTCCGAGGAGTGGCTGGTGGGTTTAAACCACCAGCTTTCTGGTTAGCAGTCAAATGCCTTAGGCACTATGCCACCAGAGCTCCCAGCAGGGAGAGGAATTGCTTCCATTTCAGCAAGGACAGCCAATCTAAGCTATACATATTAAGTTCTTTCTCAAGAAACACTTTGTGTCATCTGTTCACCTTATTTCTTTAAGAACTTAAAATACATCCCATTACAGAATTAATGGGAACTCTATTGAACTGTGCATTTTTATCTGACACTCAAGAAGAAAGAAAAAAAAACCATGAAATTTATGAGTAGAATTAGAGGAATTAGAGGCTGAGAGGAGTGCTCTATGCTTCTGATTCATAACCATGTAGAGCCTCCTTTTCCCTAGTTGGGTCTCATGTTAAGAGAAAACCACCTAAATGGAGGAGACACTGACCTGGAAAGGGAGAGCAGTGAGCAGACACCTGAGTCCAGTTCTGTGGAAACAGACTTGCAGTACAGAGTAGTGAGAACTGAGCCTGAAATGTGATTCAGGAATTTGTGATTTGAGGGCCTGTTTGCATAATTAAGGAGACCTGATTTATTAGACAATGGAAATCAATTAAGTGCTGGAAATGAATAATACAACATCAAGAATATTTTAGGAAAATCAATGTGGTAATAAAATACAAAAGTAATTGTTGTTGTTATGTGCCCTGGAGTCGGACCCAACTCATAGTGTCCCCTCCTTGGTTTTCTGAGGCAGTATCACTATGGAAGTAGATTAGGAGTTGAGATTCTGGAATAGTTAGGATGGTTCTAGATTTTAGAGCTGGGAAAAAGCCAAGTGACTATTTTGCCCAAATCACTCATTTTATGGATGACAAAACTGAAATCCAGAAACTGTCATTGGTTGACACAACTACTTAGACATACAGTTGGAACTTAACACAGGCCCCCTGACTCCCAGCCTGTTGCACTCTGGGGCTACACTGATCTGGTACACAGATAACAGTCTAAATGTAAGAGGGTGGGCAGCCAGGATAAAAGCAGTAGAAAAATGAATAAAGGAATTTGATAAATCTGGAGATGAAGAGGATGGGAGAAGAAGTGAAGAGTAAGGAGTCAGAGCATGCCAAGATTTCATAACTTGATGAGAAAGTATTATAATTTCCAGCATGACAGATAAGATTTTGACATACTAGCTGTCTTTGTTCACAACTCTTTTCCCCTACCAGATTAACTCTTTTCTGGTTTGTACCCTGATCTATGCACCACGACATGAACCCTTATGTCTTCTGTCATGAGGGCTCTCTTGGCCTCTAGTTTCTGGCAGAATTCAACCAGTGGGAGAAAGCACAGGAGAGCATAAAGTGGCATGTGATCCCCCACCACCCACCCAACTGAGCCACAGTGTCCCCATGGATTTGTTCCCCTACCACGTGTCACGGATCCTTTCACTCAGCCCCATCCAATGACTCTGGTTCTGCCCCATCCTGCTGTCCACTCTCTGCTTGCCTCTTTAGGCCTAGAGATGATAATGGCTACCATGCTATTGCTGTTGTCACTGTCTAGATGCTTCTCTCTCCTTCATTAGTTACCATTGTTCTGTCTATGTCTTTGTAAATTGTCTCTCCATTAAATGCTCTTCATTACCCTTTGAGTGAGTCATTTGTTGGATTTGCTCCTCTCCATTCTCCCTGCATTTTCCTCCTTTCTTTCTCCTCTTCAAGAAAATGGTGAGTTCTATATTCATTGCGTTATGAGGCAGAGTTAATAGAGCAGAAAGCAGAAAAGATCCACGAGGCTTGCTGGATTTTCTTTCTAATGGCTTAAACCCACAGGGATAGAAGATTTGAGGATGATGCCCAGGAACTTGTGTATGATACATCCTGTTAAAGAATCCAAGATTTTGACCATCTGCCATATGCAGTGCTTCCTTCAACTGAGACTAGAAATGGTTGTGAAATACCTAGGGGAGCATGGTTCAGCATGGCTCAAGCCATTCAATTCCCAGAGTTGTGCTCCAAGGAGTGGGTATGTTGTTGTTGTTGTTATTATGTGCCGTCAAGTCGGACCTGACTCATAGTGACCCCTCATTGGGTTTCCAAGGCAGTATCACTACAGAAGTAGGATTGCCCAACCTTCCTTCCGAGGAATGGATGGTGGGTTTGAACCGCCAGCCTTCTGGTTAGCAGTCAAGTGCCTTAGGCACTATGCTGCCAGAGCTCTAAACTCAGGCAGCTGCTGGCTGCTGAGGCTGACAAACCCACGGTCAACAGAAAAATGGGACACTCCCAAGATTACCAAACAACACAGCAGGCCACTAGTTCAAGTCCAGAGACAGTCCTAAGATTGGCAGGAAACATGGCAGGCTGCTGAATGAAAACTCAGCTACAAGCAGGGTCCAAGCATGCCAAAAAGCTGCAGAGACCCTTCTCAAAGTTTCTGCTTATATACTGGAAGCAGACCACATCCCTAAGGCAGCTACTCAGCTGCTCCAGTGGATTCCACCATAGAGGTGACTACCAGTCTCATCATGGAGAATAACTATATCCAGCTGCCTAGCCACTCAAAAGCAGGCCCAGCCAAATTATCTAAATTAACATAACTTAACTGCTACACAGACTGTGACATCTTTCTCCCATGGAGCAGCTGGTGGGTTTAAATCACAGATGGTTTGCAGCTGGGTGCTTAACCTCTGTGCCACCATGACTCCGTTGTACTCTTCTACATTATGATAAATTTTTATGTTTGCTAATTAATATGAAGTAGGCCCTGGGCAATCCTACTTCCGTAGTGATACTGCCTTGGAAACCCAAGGAGGGTTCACTATGAGTCGGGTTTGACTCGATGGCACATAACAACAACAACAACAACAACAAGACCCAACTCTAGTGCCCCCAATGAGAAAGGACAAGGAGTAATTGAAGGTCATCACTCTTAGTCATCAAAGGTGTAAAAAACCAAAGCAAGTAACTGCCAAGAAAACAGAAGTAGTGATCTGGTCTTGCTCATGGACATATCTAGGATAAGTGGTAGAGTCACAATTCAGATACTTTTTGTGTGCTTAGAAGCCAAGGGGGAGATTGGTAAACAAAAAGGGACAAGATGAGAGGTAAAACGGGAGGGACAAGGAGAGGTAAGGTGAAAGGGACAAAGGGAGGGAGAGGGGGAGGAAGAGAGAAACAGACAAAGAGACACAGAGAGATAAGCATGGTGGTCTGGAGAGTTTAGTGGTGCACTGAGTTTCAATCCCTAGTGGTGCTAAGAGGAAGCGAGATATTAGGAAAAAATGGCTGCAACGTCTTCATGAACAGACTATGGGCAATTCTCTGAAAATCAGTAAGAACCAAAGGAGATAATCCAACAGAAAAAAGACTGTACAAAATAGGAAACATAAATGGCAAAGACATATGTGAAAGGATGCTCAGCCTCTCTTACACTGAGGCAAATTGGCACAATTGAGTGCTGGGCTGCTAACGGAAAGGTTGGTGGTTTGAATCCACCCAGAGGTGACTTGAAAGAAAGACCTGGCTATCTACTTCCAAAAGATCAGCCCTGGAAAACTCTATGAGTACAATTCTACTCTAGCACACATGGGATTGCTAAGAGTTGGAACTGACTCAACAGAAATGGGTTTAGTTATTGGTTTTATACAATAGCTAAATCCAAAACCAAACTCACTGCTGTTGGGTCAGATTCAACTCATAGCGACCCCTTCTTGGGTTTCCGAGGCAGTGTCTCTGTGGAAGTAGAGTGTCCAATCTTTCTTCCAAGGAGTGACTGGTGGGTTTGAACCATCAGCCTTCTGGTTAGCAGTCAAATGCTTTAGGCACTAAGTTGTAAGACTAAATAGTGAATTTTTGTAAGGATGTGGAAAATTCTCAATTACTAATAATAAGCATGTAAATAGCATATAAAGTTTGAAAATGTGTTTGATATTATCTATGAGGGCTGAAGACACACAAACCCTGTGATCCAACAATTCCACTCCTGGAAATTTATACACAGGTGGTTTGTGTACACGAACAACAGGTTATAAGTACAAGAAAATTCATGACAACTTTGTTCACAGAAGATAAAAATAAAATAAGATACAAATGTTTATCTGCAGTAAATGGATAAATAAAATGTGTTATCTTCATATAATGGAATATTATAATTTAATATAAATGAATTACAATAAACTAAATAAGTCTTATAAACTTCTTGATGAACAAAAAAGATGCAGAAGAATGAATACAATATAATTTATAATTCTATTTAAATACAGTTTATAAGCCAGTCAAACTAGACTGTTCTTTTGGAAATGTCTGGATAGATTGTAGAACCATTTTTTAAAAAAATTAAAAGGGGAGAAGTTCTATGAAAACTAAAATATTGGTGATTACTAGTGAGGGTGTGAGAGAGTATAAGATGTGGGCTTTTGGATATTAGGAATATTTTATTTTTTGACTTGAACATTGATTATATAGATGTTCATTTATATTTATTAATTTTACTGTGTACTTCTTGTTATGCACTTTATATATGTGTTATATTTTACATATTCCAAACCAAAGAAACAAATTCACTGCCTTTGAGTCAGATCCAACACATAGTGACCCCTCCTTGGGATTCCAAGGCAGTACCACCATGGAAGTAGGTTGCCCAACCTTCCTTCTGAGGAGTGGCTGGTGGGTTTGAACTGTCAACCTTCTGGTTAGCGGTCAAATGCCTTAGTCCCTATGCCATTAGAAAAGACTAAATAGTGAAAGTGGAGAGGGTATAATTTATCAAAATTGCTACGAAACGGAGGGAAAAAATCAGATATTAGCTCCTGTCTGGGCACAAGTGACGTAGGAGAAAGAAAGAGAATCATTGCTGCTGAGCTCCTCAGCAGGTGAGAATGGAGAGTTCCAGAGGACTGATGGGTAGATCTTTGGATAGGCTTGAGAGAATTCTTCTTTATTCCAGGAGAAAAGAGGTCTTTATTGCAGATTTTGTGGACAGACAGATAGGTTGAGGCATGATCAGTCTGCATTACCACTGGTTCCAAATTAATCGTCCTTGCCCCAAGACAACACTCACCATTGTTCTGTCCTGCCAGGCGGTTCATCAGGTAAGATTTTCCTGTACGATACAACCCTACAATGGCCACCACCACTATGGGCTGAGAAATCTCTTTAAGAATCTTTAACGCTTTTGGATTCACCATCAGCTGCTCTTTCTCATTTTCCACCAAACATATGGGGGCTATCATCATGGGGCTGGAAGCCATGGTGACCTGCAACCCAAAAGAGACACTCAGTAGAATGCAAGACCTAATTTCATATCTAATGGTTATTCAAGGTACATGCATGTCAGCTTTCTGCTTGTAGAATGTATCTATCAACTTCCTGTGTTTTATAATGAAAGTATGTAGCCTTCCATTTCAAGGCCTGGTACAGATGCTTTATATATAGTACCTTATGAATCCCTAAAAGAACTCTCAAAGAACCTTGCCCAGGTGATGATGCATAAAATGTATAGATCAAGAAAAGCAAAGGATGGATAATGAGTCCTTGAGAACATTAACAATTGGTGGGTAAGTAGAGGGAAGGTGGGAGAGGAGGAGTGGTCAATAAAGGTTCTGAGAGTTCCCAGGAAACTTGGTCTCTCATTAATTCAAGTACATAGTGAGTACCTACCATGTGCTGGACACTGTCCCAGGTGCTCAGTATCCAGCCGTGAACAAAATGAATACAAATTCCTGCCTTGTGTGAGCTCTTTTATAGTGGAGGAGACAAATAAAAAACTCATGAGCAAAAATTATATATGTATGTATGGTTCTGGAGAAAAATAAGCAAGGAATAGAGATAGAAATTGTTGGGATTATATTTGGGATAATCAGAGAAGGGCTTTCTGAGAAAGACACAAATGGAGATGATGAAGTTGGTGAGGATACAAACACAAAAACAACCATTGCTGTGGAGTCAGATCCAACTCATAGCAATCCCTCCTTGGGTTTCCGAGGTGGTATCACTATGGAAGTAGATTGCCCAACCTTCCTTCCATGGAGTGGCTGGTGGGTTTGAACCACCAGCCTTCTGGTTAGCAGGCAGATTGAATAGAGGGATGATAGTGAGAGGAGGAAGGAGAAAGAAAGGATATAGATAGCTTTCTCTCAAAACGGAAAGGAAAGCTTTTTATAGTGTGCAAAGATATTGGCCCAGGAATTAGTTTATTTCACTGGAAGAAAATGATAAGTCTTGTTTATAGGCTGACAGGAAGTCAGTAGTCAGTGTGTTTGAGAATTAGTGGAGAGTTTCTAACAGGAAGAGACTGAGATCAAAGAGCTTTGATCGTTGCTTTCTTCACTCTAAGCCATTGCTAAGCAGCATTCCCATGTTCCTATATTTAATAGCTGTGTGACCATGGAAAGATACTCAATTTTCTGTCTTGGTTTCTTCTCTTGTAAACCCATTGCCATCAAGTTGATTCCAAACATATTATACCATTTATATTGCAATTAAAATCATGCCTGGTACATAGTAAATGCTATATAAGAATTGCTTAAACATGCTACGTGTCTAAGAAGATAGGGTTCAAGTGTCTATGAAGGTGAGGATTGGATATGGAAAGAAACAACGGTAATTCTTTCCCAGGTGCAAGCAAGTGGAGAGTGTGCCCCCTGAGGAGGAGGGGCAGGCTCAAGTGGACCCAGGGGAAGGGTTGACAGAGAGGGCATTGTGGAGAATGAGTCAGGTAAGTGGAACCCATAACAGTCCTGGGAGATTAGAGCAGAGATTCTGGAGTCAGACTGCCTGGGATCAAATACTACCACGGTTATTACCTGTGAGGTCTTTAGAGATGAACTTAGCTCTCTGATCCTCACTTTTCTTATCAGTATTATGGGGAAAACAATAATTCCTGCTTGATTCATTGCTGTACAAGCTAATAACATATAGGCTTAAAAATTGTTTTTCATTACCCAGGATTAAAGTATTGTTGATATAATGAACAAGTTAGGCAATGCAGTAAAATGTCAATATGTTATATAATTTGCAAATTACCAAGAAATACTAGGGTAACTAAATCCTTTCCATCAAGAAAAATGAACAATTTCATTCTTAACAGAGTTCTGCCAAATGATTTCTTTTCTTTTTGCCTTTGGTGCCAGAGAACAGGGTTGGACAAGTAAAATATGAGACTTATACTGTTGTGTTAAAAGCAGGAGGAATTATAGGGTTTATTCCTTATACTTAATATTTTAAAATTTATGGGGAGTATTAGATGAGCTTACCAGGTTTTTTGTTTGTTTGTTTGTTTTTTTAATGCAAAACACAGATATCTAAATGAAAAAGCTTTTAAATCCAAATTAAACAAATAGAATGAGATAGTTCTATTAGATTGCAGAACAGCAATGGTTTCCAAAAGTTACTGTTCATAAGAGTTATATGGGGAGTTCCAGTAAGATGGTGGAATAGGGAGAAAGACTGCACAGACCCTCTTCAACAAAGAGAAGGGGAACCAATTGACACAGATACAGAAGATAATCCTAGAGCCCTGAGCCTTGAAGGAAACGATATAGAAGTGGACTAAACTCAACTAACAGAAGAATTTGCATAAAAACACCAAAAAAGGAGATATATGGAGCTGTGGTCTGGGAGCTATCCTGATGGCACAGACAGCTTGGATATTGTCAAGAGGTGGTAGGACCTAAGAATTAACCTAAAAAACGGCCCTGCTAGCCAGGGACTTCACGGAGGACTGCTCTGGTGGCTGGTGAATAAAAGAGAAAGCAGCAGAGAGGAAGGCAGTCTTAGCTGTGGACTTTTGTATATCTGGAAAGCACAGCCATTTTGAATGTTTACAAGCGGCTTGACCATTTTGGATATTTAAAGCAACAGCATTCTTCCAGACTCCAGGGATTTAAGAACAGACTCCACTTGCTGGGAACCCCAAGGAAATGCCGGACCCAGATGACTGGAAAGGTGCAACATTCCCCTTGTTACTCATACCCCACACCCTCTTGGGGAATGGAGGTGTGGCCATCCCTCACTCCCACCCACTTTCTGGGTTGGCAGGAATTCCATCCCAGTCCATATGCTCAGAGAGAGCCAGGGTGCCCAGCCTTGCCCTAACATGACTTTTTTTTTTTTTTTTCTTTTTTCTGTTTTTTAGTTTGTTTTTGTCTATTTCAAAACTACTATTATTATTATAACTTTTGTCTGTTTTACTATTATTCTTTATTCTTCTCCTCCCAGGTTCTTCTTTACAGTTTTTTTCTCTTCCCTGTTTCTGGTTGCAATTTTCTTTTTCTTTCTCATGGTTAACCCTGTTCCTTGTTTGTCTTTTTACATTTTTCCTGGTTTTTTCTTCATTATTCTCTTCTCTACTTTTTTTCTTTTATTGCCCTCTCCCCATATATTGCAGGCTTTTTTCTTTTCCTTTTTTCTTTTTTTTGATTATTGTTCTTGTGTGATTACACAGTGTATTTTTGTCCATTTTCTTTAACTTTTTTGATGGTTATTCAATTGTTATTTTTGTCTAACTGAGTGGAAGACAGCAACAGTCCACATATGACACAACTACACCCACACCTCCTGCAGCTTTACTTACTGAGCCACCACTTCCTTCTCCCCCATGGGCCAATGATAAACAACCAACAAGAAGAGCCTGAATCATCCTTGGCTGCTCTTCACAAAGAGTTAACAGAGATCTAAATACAATAATGCCATGATGTCTCAGAGACAACAGACCATCACAGTCCACACAAAGAAGCAAGATAAAGTGGTAGAAACAAGAGAGCAGGATACAGACCTAGAACACATCCCTGAGAAAGAAGCAGCATTGGAACTCTCTGATAAGAAATTCAAAAGAATTATATTTAGGTATCTTTAAAGGATAGAGACACAAACCAAGGAAAACACAGACAAAACCCTAGAAGAATTTTGGAAGAAAATAAAAGAATGAAATGACAAAATAAATGAAAACTTCGAAATGATTCTAAATCTATAGATAGAAAGTCAGAAGATTAATACTAAATTGTCAGAAATAGATAACACATTGAAAAACTAAAGAAGTAGAATTGATTCATTGGAAGACAGAATTAATGAGATAGAAGACAAACACCTGAATACTTCTTTGGAAAGGGATCAATCAGAAAAAAGATCAAAACAAAATGAAGAAAGTCTAAGGTTCACGTGGGGTACCATCAAAAGGAATAACCAACGTGTCATTGGAATTCCAGACCAGGAAGAGAAAAATAAAATCACTGAGAAAATTGTCCAAGATTTCTTGGAGGAGAACTTCCCTGATATAATGAAAGATGAGAATATATCCATTGAGAAAGTCCAATGAACCACAAACAGGATAGACCTCAAAAGAAAATCATCAAGACATATCATCATCAAACTCATCAAAACCAAAGACAAAGAAAGAATTCTGAAAACAGCACAGGGAAAAAAAAAAAAAAAAAGTTACTTACGAAGGACAACCAGTAAGAATAAGCTCTGATTTCTCAGCAGAAACCAGGCAAGCGAGAAGGCAATGGGATGGTATATATAAAACCCTGAAAGAGAAAAATTTTCAACCAAGAATTATACACATGACAAAATTGTCCCTCAAATATGAGGTGAAATTAGGAGTTTTCCAGATAAGTAGAAACTAAGGGAATTTGTTAAAACCAGAGCAAACTTACAAGAGATACTAAAAGGAGTCCTTTGAATAGAGAACCAAAAATAGCAAATAACAACTGACCATTAATACACAAGATGACATAACCCAGAAACCACAGCTATGGACTTATCCAAAGTAAAATAAACCTACACAATTGTAAATAGAAACCAGAGACATCAATTGGCAAGTGAGGACAACTACAAACAAAAAGAGGGAAAATACTGTGTAGTTACAGAACTTCTAAATGCCGAGGAAGTCGAGAGACTTTCAAGATAGAAAGGACTGTTCTAATCTCAGGGAGAAAATTATAAATGACAGGGTAACCTCAAAGAAAAATGATAAACCTTCACATCACAATAAAAAAGAGGACAAGCACAAATATTCAGCAAATACTAAAACAACAACAACAAAAGAAATGATAACACGATTCATAAACATAATGAGCTCAGCACAGAAAATAATATGGAACAAAGAAACCAGGGATACCATGAAAAAACACACAACAAAATGACAGCAACCAATCCATACTTGTCAATTATTACACTGAATGTTAATGGATTAAATGCACTACTCAACAGATGGAGAGTTGCAAATTGGATAAGAAAACAAAAGCCATCAATATGC